TAATTGAATTTATTTCCGGCTCCTTTGGCTAGCCGGCATTCTTCCAATCACATGACCAATCGCACCTATGCTTTTCGTCTGGTATTTTAGATAGCGTTCCCACAAAAATTGAACATCTCCCGTAAAGTTTGACCAATCCAAATTTAAGATCAGGTGTTAACGTGATAGTCAAAATAAACATGTTTTGTTTTCAAAAGTTGCGTGAAATTAAAGAAAACCGCGTTATAGTTAGGGTTAGGACTAGGATAATGTGATATATATTAGTAAAATTTCACAAGGAACAGTTTTAATTAGACCGCAGAAAGCGTTTCCTAATTAAATTTAGAGCTATTATTTTTTTGTTTCTCAATTTTTACTTTACGCCTAATCCTGGAATTCAATTGGTCAAAACTACAAGAGGTGAACAATTTTTTATGGGAGAGCTAGGGGTATCTTAATTGGTATGTATATCTCGAAATCGATGTTCACGAGAGATCATCCAAACTAGGAAAGAGCAAAAGGTTTATTATAAATTTTTCGTCCATTTGATAAATTTCATTGGCTATGAATTTCTAAATTGAAATGATTCCGATATGGTTACACGAATGTTATAAATACGAAGTTAAAAGGAATCGAAAAAAATCAAATATCGTCCAACAACGTTATAGAGCAGGCCATCATGTCTTTATTAAAATGAACCAATCGCTAAATTTAAACCGTTGTTATTTATAAAACCTTCGCAACTTCCTATGTATAAAACTCATGATATCTTGTTAAATAAATAATATATTTTTAAATATATTTTTAAAATAACTTCCATTAAAAAGATATTTCAAATTTAAAAAGTTTTAATCCATGTGATGCAATACTTTGACTGCCACAGTATTAAAATTATACAAATTTTTTGGCTTACATTTAAAAGATTACATAATATTAACAAGCTTAACCGTCGCATTAATTGTTCTTTGTAAGATTTAAGTGGTTGATGTTTTAATAATTTGTTTAATTCCTACTTTTGCATTGTTTGTACAATTGCGTTGCTCTTTAAAATATGTGAGTAACGCCAAGGGGGTAACATATATAGCAATAGATAATAGTAATTAACGTTATTTACGTACGTACGTATGTATCATTTAAGCCCCCGATAATGCTGTGTCTAATAAATAAATAATAAATAATAAGCTTGATAGCACGTAATCTTGGCGTCATTCATGCACTATATGTACAGTGCATTTCAAATGTATTCTTAGAAGACTCGGTTTTGGACTAATTCTATTTCTAATAACAAATGGATCGGCTACATTTTACACACACATCTCCAATTGTGTATCTTAATCGGCAGAAAATCATCGTTTCTGATCAATATAGAGTTACAAAGATTTAAAAGCTAAGTAAGATTGACGTGGTTTGCCCCGCGAACATCCGATTCATATTAACATAGGATCACACATCTGATATCACGTTCTTCGAAAAATATACGGAGTTGTATGAAAGTTATAATTACAAAAAAAAAAAAAATAATAATACATAAATAGCATATTTTTGAATTGGTCTTCCTTAATCATTGACACACGAATTAATTACCTACAGTTGACCTATTTTTCCAGTGGAATTCCTGAATTCCTTAATACAGTCAACTCTCTACATCGAACTTGGATAAAACTGAACTTTTATAAATTTTATAAGCAAGTTCAGTTTTATTTATAAGCTCGGAGAGATCGGTATAAGCAGAGTTGACTGTAAAAAAAAAAAAAAAAACTCGTTATCGGTCTATCATTACGTACTACATACGTACATATTTAATCATGCTAAAAAAAAATAAATCAAAATCCGGTGCGCTTTTTTCTTCATATTTGTCCAATATGAATAACACTGGTAAGGTTCTCAAATTTTTAGTGTTGCAACATCAAGTTTTTTTTTTCGATATTTAGTATAATAACATTGATTATTTTTCATGAAAGACGTTGTCAGAAGTGCTTTACCTGATAATATGGTACGAGTTTTCTTAATTATTTCAAATTGCCTTTTAGGGATTGGAACTGAAATGACAAAATCGAATTTGTCACGCAATAAGCACGAGGTATCGTGTTAAAATCGAACTTATCATGTATATTATGTGATAAATTCGATTTATTAATGGCAAGTTTGATTTTGTCACGAGCCGGCTTATCACGGTTTGTTCCCATCTCTATTACCTTTGCACAGAAAATATGATTCTGGAATGCTATAAATCGTAATCTATGCTATCATCTTACAATCAATTTATTATCTTCAGGATGTTGACATTTTGATTAGACAAATAGGCATAGAACATTCTTGGCCCGAAAACCAAGTGAATTCGGATGTACAAATTTTAAAAAAAAATCGTATTTACACAATAAAGGACTTACGTACATTATCAAAAGAGAGCTGGAAGGTTATTATCTATTCGATATTTAATTATTACTGGTATTGATTTTCTTATATACGTCAACAACTTGTTCTTTATATTTAGGCTATAGAATTACTGCCAATTGTCAAAGATTTGTGTCGCGAAGCTATTACTGGAGATCCTAATAATCAAATAATTTTTAAAGATTCAACAAATCAAGATGATGTTAGAAAAAAAAAGCATATAACTAAAAAAATGTCGTTTGATGCTTTAGCTTCAAGATTTGGTATTCACTCGTCACATGAACCAAGATTAAATTATTTTAAAACTTCTGCTGATACTTCCTCAACTTTAAGACCTATTCCTTACGAAGAACCTCAAAGTAGTGTAAATAATGTGGAATTAGATACAAAGAAAATGTATTCTAATAGTTTTAATATAAAACCCATTCCTTATACTCCTCAAAAAATCGATATTTCTGATGAAAATAATGATAATCCTTATATTTCTCGAAAAATCGAACTTCCTGATGAAAATAATTATGATAATTCTGATAGTCCGAAACTTTTCATGCCACCACCTAACAAAAAAGTGATTGGAGATAGGATGAAAATCAAAACTGCTTCTGGCCAAGTTTATGAAGTTGATAGATGGTGCCCGCACGCTAAAGATGATCTTGGTGCAAAGGTAGGTATCAACACTAAGTTTATTGCGAATATGTTAATTAAGGGTGTTCTAACTCATTATATATTTTAAAGGGAATTGTGATAGGATCAAAACTTTTTTGTACTAGGCATAAATGGGCATTTGATTTAGAAAATGGTGGGAAATGTACTACTACTTGCACCGACGCAACAATCAATGCCTGCGCGGTCAATGATTGGTGAAATCAATTTCCTGGTGATTTGATTTCTAATTGTAAACTATATAGTTTTACTCTAAGAATCAATTATTAGATGGTACCAAAAATTATTTAATTAGATATATTATCGTTAGTTTGTAATCTTATTTACATCTATAATATTGTAATGCGACTTTTCCGAGTTTCGGACATTTTATAAGTCCAACTATATATTTTAATTTGACTTGTAAGTTCGTTTATAAGCTTAACTTGTTCAAGTTTGCCCAATTGGCCAACATTAACTTATTAATAAAAATACAGAGGTTTTTCTCAATTTAAACTAACATTGTGAATAGATAACAATAGCAAATTGTTGCCATTTTTTTTATAGCAACCCATTTTTATACTGTATTTATTTTATGTCATACACAATAACTGCATATCAAATGGATATGTATTTCTCTGTAAAGTGAACATACTTTCATATTAGCTGCAGGATCTTCGATATAACGACCGTCTATTCAAACTATTGTTATACAGTCAAACCTCTCTATAGTCACGCCATTCGTTCCAGGAAATTCTGTGCTTAAAGTTTGTATGGCTTATGTAAGTTGGTTCTAAAAATTGGTGTGATTTTAAGTGGATGTGACTATATAGAGAGTGACTGTAGGGATATATTGCATGTTTTTTTTTTGTTTTTAGATTATATTTTTATAATACAGTAGTTTAGGAAATAAACCAATGTTTAATGATGACAATATACCAATCCAACTGTACCGTATTTTCGCGGAATAACGCTCATCTGCGCGTTATTTTGAGTACGCGCATGGGCGTTATTTTGAGACAAATGTAAAAATCTTAAGCGTCTTGTCTAAAACAAAAAATGATCCGGAGTTAGGTTGATACTAAGTGAATCTAGTTCCGGAGCATTTGTCGTAAATAGGCACCCCTTACTATAAGATGCGCGTTATTTCGGGGCGCGCGTTTTGAAGCTATATATGTTATTTTTTAGGGGGAAATAACGCTCATGAGCGTTATTCCGCGAAAATACGGTACGTAATTTTACAGCCCGATATCATCGCTTTAACCACCTTCTGATTAGGTTTATGTGCGGGGTTATGCCTTATTTAGGTTTTTAATGCGGGGCAAGATTGACGAATCGTCAAAGATGTGAATCTTTGATGAGCAAGTAACGGTAAGGGGTGCACACATAATATAAACTCTAAAAAAGGGAATAAAAAAAATTTGATCATCTCAATGTGCGGAAAGTATAGTCGCTAGCAAGTCCAAACTTCCCCCAAAAAATTTTAAAAAATAATTTATGATAAAAGTTTACAAATGTATACTGTATATGAAAATATGAGGCGAGTGGTTACACGTATAACGAAAAGTGTGTATTTTAACGAATTAATGTCTCTCGTGACTTGTGAGCGTAATGCCGTAATTGGTCGTAATTATAATGAATTACGGGCAAAAAATGCCGTAATTCATTATAATTACGATAATTACGACCAATTATGGCATTGCGCTCACACCTCTACTCGCTACATAATGCCTGATTCCTCTCAATGAAAGGGATTGAATCCAATCGTTGGTTTATGAGATATCTTAATTCATATCTCAATTGTAATATTCTTATCGTATTATGTGAATAAAGATATCTTGTAGCCCAATGGTCGAATTTGGTGGTTTCGATTTTCATAGTATATAAGAGGAATTGAATGGTGTAAGGTATAAAAATCGACCGAATGCAGTCATTAGAATATCAGAATTCAAATTTCAACGTGTTTCCTTGAACATATATGTGTTGTGCTTGAAGTTAACATCTGCCTGAAATTGCGCCTGAAATCATACTTTTTTTAAAAAAAATTTTACTAGCTAGGAAATCTAATTTCGAGGTCAGTGCAATTTCAGGCGCCTGAAGTTGCAATTTCAAGAAGCAACCATTAATAAAAAAAAATAAATAGAGTGCCATGTAAGATATAGCAAGATATGGTGAATTTGCGGCAGGCATGTTGTACGCAAAATGGAATTATTGTAGATTTAAGTGTAATTCAAGTTGATATCAGATATGAAACCTAAAAGCAACTTTGATACTAGATTTGATGCTATAATTACTATAATTCTGAATTCGATACTATAATAAATGAATGTTCGATTGACGCAATGATCTATAGTTTTGAATTCGATACTATAATAAATGATTATTCCACGAGTATTATGTAACAACCCGTGCTTTTTCATTTGGTTATTGCACGGGATTGTACGTCAGACACCGTGAAATAATATAGTTATTGTATGGGTATATGAATAACCCGTAGCCTTCGGCCACGGTTATTCACTACATACCCATACAATAACAAGTATATATTCGGTTGACGCAATGATCTATAATTCTGAATTCGATACTGTAATAAATGAATATTCAATGATAATTTTAGTAAAGTATATCCTATCGTTATAATAAATTGTCAAAAATTTTATTAATGCTACCTTTTTTCATTCTTTTTGTCTGATGATCGAATCTCAAGACTATCCGTAGTGCATTTGGTGAACTGATTTCTAAATACCTTGGCAAAAATCGCCTAGTAAACGATGTAAAACCTTTATTACACGTGAAGACTTTGATTTCTGCATTAAGATTTTACAAGATCCAGAAAATACAATAATCGGGAATGCAAAGATCGCTATTGGAAAAAA